CATGAAGTGACCACACTCACCACCTCCTGCACTTCAAAAATAATAAGATCTCCCCAAAAATAAGGCCAAGCACTTATTTTGGAGGTCAAAAGAAAATAAGACCCTGTCTTATTTTGGGGAAAATATGGTATTTGTGACCATTGCTGTGTCCCCAAATCATGGAAGGTTTTGTGACCTGACAAGCAAAGGCAATGGGAAAGCCAGATTCACTTAAAAACCAGGTTACTAACGTATCAGGTACAGTGATTCACTTAACAACTGTGGCAAGAAAGTTCATAGAATGGGTCCAAACTCACTTAACAAATGTCTCACTTAACAATAGAAATGTTGGTCTCAATTGTGATCGTAAGTTGAGGACTACCTGTATAGCATGTTCCTGCTTTAACCATGTGTGAGAATGATATCCAAATTATGAAAAGAGTATGGCCTCTTGTACAATTACTCCTTACTTTCCTCTTCAGTTATTTTGCTTATAATATTTGGGGGGGGGGGACACATCATGCCTAAAACTAGGAGATCTCCCATCCAACTTCTAAGCAGGTCTCATCCAGTTTAGCTTCCAAACCCAGACAGAGTTGGACAGATGGACACTATCTGCTAAGACAATAGAAGCATATTCTCACAAGGTGGTTGGGGGGGGGGGTACCCCATCTTGCCCCAAGTTACATCACATAAAACTTGCCTTTGTTGCTGACTGCCCTAAGAGAGAAAACAGTGCTTGTATATAAGCATCAATTAAATAAGCCTTTAGAAAGCTAGGATAGTAGAACAACTTGCAGTCATTGTGAAGAAAAGTGAGCTTTTCCAGATGTTGATGAACTACAATTTTCAGCATCCTTTATCTTAGGAATGTTGGGTAAGGCAACTAGAACTGGGGTTTGGCAACATCTGGAAGGCCATATTTCCCATCCTTAACTTACAGTGTTAATCTACCATGTTTCCTTGAACATACATCCCATCTTTTTTAATACGACATATTTTCAAATGAGTGCATGGAATTCAAATAATTATTACAATTTGGATTATGGATCAGGTAGTCTCAGAATACTGACTTTAGAAATGAACTTGCAAAATCATCTTCAGTAAATCACCTCTACTTATTTTAATAGCACCAACCTGTTTCACAAGATCATTGTAAAGACTGTTCCCAAGGGGTTAAGGTGTTTCTGGAACCCCTGTTAAATCTTTAATGTTGTTGTCTGGGTGCTTATGTTTTTAACCATGTCTTAAAATTATGTCATAAAAACATTGTAAGCTGTCCAAAGTCTTTTCAGAATCAAGTGGCCCTAAAAATCAAGTAAATGGATAAATTATGGCGGTATTATGTATTGTAGCAATTTACCAATTAGTGTCAAATGTAGTTCATAGTCATGAAACTGAGCAATTTTTGATTGTTGTTATATTTTTAACATTTCTGCCCTAGTTTTACAGCATAATTTCCTTGGTTTGGGGAATTATGATCCAAGTATCTAAAAATTCAGTCCACCATCTACCCCGAACTTTTACAGTGTCAACATCTAACAGATAAATGTGTGGAATTTGTCAAGGAAGTCATCCTTCCAGGAGACTCAAAACTATGTAACTCGATAGTAGACATAAATAGCAGAGACAGGACAGGAAGTTCCAGGCAGTAATTGATTAATGAGACTCCATGAATGGCCTTTAGGAAATCTCTTTGCGCCATATTCAATGACTGATGCTATATATATAAATAACTACTGCTTAACTGCAGGAGAAACATTCATTATTTAAAACAGTAGCTATTTTTATCCTGCAAAGATCCCATTTCTGCTGGGACAGCTGCAATTTCAAAGACTTCTCCAGGGTGGGAATCAATATCAACATTCAGTTACTCCGTTTTTGTTTTTTTTTAATCCAATAATGTTTCTTTCCTCTGCTTTTTTGTACACTATGCATCTTTTTAGGAATAGCCACCACAGAGTGGGGGTCTATAATGATTGTAACTCANCTCTCTCTCTCCTCTTCCCTCCCTTTTTGCCTCTCTCTCTCTGCCCTTCTCCCCCCTCCCTTCTCTCTTTCTCCCTTTTTGTCTCTCCCTTTCTCCTTCCCCTCCCCCTTTCCCCTCCCCCTTCTTTTTTAACTATTTCAGTGGATGCTACAATTTCAGAATCAAATGCTGCCAGAAAAAGACCCTCGTTACCAGGTGGTCAAGAAAGTTGTCACTCATTTAACTGAAAGCAACAAGGACATTCCAGGATTCTCTGAAATTACCTGGACTATCCATGTGGTAGAAGAGTCTAACATTAATGCTTTTGTACTTCCAGTAAGTAATAACTGAAAAGAAACGACGCATAATTAAGAGGGAGAGAGGGAGAAAATACCTAATGGCTTGTCTAAATGCTTATTTTATCCTTTTGCCTACAGAATGGACAAGTGTTCGTTTTCACTGGTTTGCTAAGTGCCGTGTCAGATATCAATCAGCTTTCATTCATTTTGGGACATGAAATTGCTCATGTTATTCTGGGACATGCTGTAAGTTTTGTTTAGTTGGTTTTTAAAAAAAAGAAATGTTAACCAAAAAATTGTTCCATCAGGATAAATGTAACTGCCACAGTCAAGACTGCCATATTTTCTGCAGTGAAAGACTGATTCTTTGCATTAAGAAACTGGGTTAGTCTTAATCACTTAGTTCACCCTAGACAAGGTGCAAAATGTTTCAAGGTTAAAACACTTACTTTTGAGTTTGAAGCCATTCTTAAAAGTGAATTATAGGTAACTAGCTGATAATCTGGCGTTGCTTAGGTATTTATTTATCCTAACCCTGTATTAGACAAGAAAAGCTCTGCTTTCGAGGGCAATTAAATGAGTTCCAAATGTTTCCCCTATGCCCCCAGAAGTATCAAGAAAAATGATACCACCTTAATTTCTAATGTTGGATTTTCCCCCTTACCAGAAGGAGCCCCCTTGTGGAATACTGTGAAGCCATTACCATGGCCACTCCACTCCACTGCACAGTAGAAGCCATTTTATGACACAACAGGCTGTATCTTAACAGAATACACACCTTGAGAGGTGTTAGGGGTGATCTATCTCCACAGCATTTGTTTCCAGAGAGTAAGACATATGTGTACCAAGTTTAGTTGAAATTGCTTGAGGCGTTCCAGAGTTATGCTGGAACACACACACACACACACACACACACACAGCCATTTTTATAATATAGAATATATGGTTTCTAGGGAGAATATGAGAAGAGAGCAAGTGCCCTCCTACTTGGTAAGCTTTCTGAATGCATTTGAGTGGCCACTGTGACATCAAATGTTTGTGTTAGACAGACTATTGGACTGATTCAGCAGAGATTTTCTTATGTTCTTAAACTAATTGCCAGATGGTTGGTGCATATTTCACCCCCATCATTTTGACAAGCATAGGTAAGCTGAACCTTCTGCTAAATCTTCTTTTTAAGGTAATTTGATTGTCTCTTTTGGACTGTCATTGTTAATGAGGGAAAAATACTTTAAACAACATCCTTATAGTTTTATTTCTGGACTAAAATATAGGAAAAACTGAACGATGAGAAAAGAATTAAAACAATATCTTTATTTCCCCCCCTTCGTTTCAAGGCAGAAAAGGCAAGTCTGATGCACTTCCTGGACTTCTTCTCCCTTATTTTGCTCACCATGATTTGGGCTGTCTGTCCTCAAGACAGTTTAGCTGTGATAGGCCAGTGGATCCAAAGCAGGTTTCAAGAGGTAAGTTAACCAAGTTCCTGCAGTGTATCTTTAACATTTCAGTTAGACTAATTCCCAGATTAGTTTGAAAACGCTTCTGTCTTAGATATGCCAGATCCTGTTGGAAACAAGATGCTGCGAACAGTAGATTTATGTCTGATCCAGAGGGCTATTGCCTTTCAGAATGCTGGGCGAAACTATAGATTAGCTTCTGTGAACAGCTGATACTGCAAGTCTTGGCACTTTCCTCCGTAGGCTGTGTGAAGAATGTGATCTCCCTGATTAAAAATTAATGAGTACGGATATGAAACAAGATCTCATCTGTGACCTATTTCTTTTTTTATCAGATTGCTCCTATTTTGATCCATAGTGGATCGTGAGATTTTTCTTTGATGAGTAACAATCCTCAGCCTCAAATGCTGTCCCTTTCACCTTTGTTTTACCCACACTAATTCATTCTTTTGACATATATGGCAAAGAACTAGAACTAGCATGTCTGGGAATCCTGTTGTCTGCTAAAATCCTGGCTGTTCCGGCAGGCCTGGGGCTGTTGACCCATGAATGAGGTCCAGCCCCTAAGTAAGTCGAGTGTATGGTGTGTTCCTTTTAAATTGTTCTCTTTTTCCCCCTATTTTATTATTTTTGTTTTATCCCTGTATTTGTAAGCCGCCCGGAGTCCTACGGGATTGGGCGGCATATAAATTTATTAAATTACAAATTAATTTGTAGGGCACATGGTGCATACCTCACTAGATTATTCAGTATTTGTTTATTTGTATCCTGATTTTATTGTTTTTGCAACTAACTAAGGGCGGCAAATATATCCAGCACACCTTCCTCCTCCTATATTCCCCAGAACAACAGCCCTGTGAGATGGGTTAGACTGAGACAGAGTGATTGGCCCAAAGTCACCCTGCTAGCTTTCATAGCTAAGGCAGGACTAGAACTTACAATCTCCAGCTTTCTAACCTGGAGTCTTAACCACTAGACCACACTGCCTCTCTTCTTTGAAGCAGTGGACTAATTCATGAAAGACACTATATACAGTATTTCAGTGAGGTTTATGGCTGGTGAGGCAAGTGAGCAAAAGCCGCCCTGCCGCCCCGGCGCTATGTCCGACATAGAGGCGGGACGCCTCTATGTCGGACATAGCGGCAGGTGGCGCCTCTTGAAAGCGGGCAAAAGCCGCCCTGCCGCTATGTCTGACATAGAGGCATCCTTCCTCTATGTCGGACATAGCGCCGGGGCGGCAGGGCGGCTTTTGCTCACTTGCCTCACCAGCCNGGAGGCAGCGAGCATGGTCACCTCATGGCTACTGCTGGGTTGCGATATTTTCAGGGAGAGCTTATTTTCAGGGGAGGGCTTATTTTAGTGCATGTGCTCAAAAGTCCGAATGGGCTTATTAACCAGGGAGGTCTTATTTTCAGGGAAACAGGGTAGTTTTTTAAACCTTCCAACTGACAGAGAAAAAGGAATGCAACTGCTTCCACTTTTTAACGGAAGGATTCACAATGTTTCCAATTTAGTCCAAGCAGAATTTTGGAAACATTACTCACTTCTGCTCTAAAGTCCTATAACTTTCACTATGTAGGTAAAACAGGACAGCAGGACAGATCCATTTGTCATACCAATGACACTATCACCCTTGATTCTACCTTTCTTAACTATATTATTACTTATAAGAAGAAGAAAAGCACAAGAGAGTAGGAGAGGGAAAATGAAAATAAGAAAAAGAGAAAATGTGGATAAGAAAAACAGAAGGAAGGGCAATATTCCATAGTTGCTTTGGAAAATAAATCCACTGTTTATAGCTATTATTTGTATGAGAATAGAAGCTATTTTACAAAAAGCTATTATTCTATACATTCTCTTCTATACCTAAAATGTAGGACTGCTGTACTTTTGCACCCTAACTCTAGTTCAGCCGTGTCAAACTCATGGCGTCACAGCAGCATTACGTGAAGTATCAGGACGTTTCCCCCCTTTGCTAAACTGGGCATGGGCGTGGCCAGTGCATGACGCATCCGGCCCATGGGCTGCAAGTTTGACAGCCTTGATTTAGTTAATTGTTTCTCAACCTTGGTAACTTTGAGACATGTGGACTTCAACTCCCATAATTCCCCAACCAGTTTTAAAAGTTGCTAAGATTGAGAAACCTTACTCTAGTAGTTGGTCTCAGATGAGATCAGCATCTGGCTGGCTACAAGCTACATAAGAGATGCATCTGGTTAGCATTTAGATCGGAGACTATTAACTAAATTAGAAAGTTTTTTAAAATGTCATTCTGGAAGAAGTCAATGACAAGCCATTTTTGCATTGTTGCCAAGAACACGACATACTGTAGATGTATTGAAGTTTGACCCAAAAGAAAGTTATTTAAGTTATTTAAGGTTTCAAGATTGGAAGACATATGAGTGTGATAGGGTTGGTAATGACTTGAGTAAAGGTAGGTGAAACTAGAACGCTACCATTCTTCTTTAACAAATTAATAAATACCTTGTTGTGCTATTACTTTCTCCCTTTCTTTATATGCCATAGAACACATCTGAACATCTTGTTACCCAGTGTTGTGACCCAGATGGTCATGGCAAGGCAGGCCTCTAGAGAGTCCTTTATTTTTCTCAGCAAATGTTCCAACAAACAGACCTCCAATGAACCGTACGGCTCCACACTCTACGCTACCCTGAAAACAGCCACCCCCAGTTCCCTTAAACACAGCCCCTACAGTACCAATGAAGCCCACAGAGTAGGAGCACTCTCACAGGGCAAGATCCAGGGTTCCAAGTCCAGTCCACAAGGCAGAGTCCAGGCACAAGACAATGGCAGTCTTCAGGGCGAAGAAAAGGTCTAATGCAAGAAGCAGTTCCAAAGGCACAGTGAAGCAAAGGTCAAAAGTAGTCCTCAAGAGAAGGGCTAGGTCCAAGGCAAAAGGCAAAGAGCAATCTTCCAAGGGAGGCAAGGCAAACAGCAACAGGCACAAGTCAAAGCTGGGAGAGTGTAAGCCAAAGCAAACAATTGTTCCTGGCAATTGTTCGGCTTTTCCTTAAGTTACTCCACTCCAGGTTTTCCTTGTGAGGTGGGGTGGGGGGCAAACCTTCTCCCAAGTAGCCTTGCAGCCTTCCTCTGGGCTTGCCTATACTCTGCTCTCTTTACCCTTAGATCCAGTAGAGTAGACAGCTATTCCACATCACAGGAGATCTGCTTCCTATTAGCACACTGCCTGTCTGTAGCTGATCCTCCCCTGTGTCTGTGAAGGCAGGCAGCTCTCCATCTGATCAACCACCTCCCCCAATGCTTGAGCAGCCTGGGGCAGCATTGTCCTCAGTCCTGGGCCTCTCCAAACCCGCTAAGAGATGTGCCATCCTTGTTGGACAGTCCCAGTTCCAATGCCTTCTCCTCCAAACTGGATTCCAATGAGGCCATGACCCCCACATGCCACACACATTTCTCAAATCTATTATGCCCAGTCCCCCCAAAAACAGGAAATCCTATCTACTTTCTTCTGTCAAATAGCTAATTAGATATCAACTAAGCAATTAGAAAGCTGCAAATATGTATAGAATATCCATATTTATAGCATGAACATAGTCAATGTCATAAATTAATACTTATGAAGCCGACGGAACGCAGAAGAATTAAGATTATTAAATATATAAACTGTTTAAGAAAACAAGCAATCGTGCAAATTTACATGTATTATATCCAAGGCTAGAAGCTACAAATGTTTTAGTCAGATACATTAAAACTGAAAGAGATCCCTATTTAACATCTCCAAGGTGGCATATGGATATGCATCCATTCCCATGCATTTTTATGTGTGACTAACTGCTCCCAACTTCAGTTGGAAGTTGGAAGTTAATACTAACTGAGCAGTTGGTGCAGGTTCTGACTCATGGTTTTTAGAAGTAGGAAAAGTCAGGACTTCCTTCAAATACTTAAATTAATAAATTAAAGTACAAACTAAATTTTAGAATATTATAAAATATTAGAAGTTTCATGGCACTTCAAAAGCACTTAGAAAATATCAGAGGACAGAGAAAGTTGACTGAAGGTTCAACTTTCTGGGAAGAAAAATACTTTTAAAAATGAAATGCTCTCCAATAGTTTTACATAATGTAATATAATGGCTCTCTTTTGAACATAAATTATTTCACATATTAATTTTGTTGTAAAAACAATTTCCATTTATTGTTGAAAAAACACTGATACCACAAAGTTGAAAAGAGTTCTATTTGCATACATCAGAAAATGATTATATCTTTTTTATTTGAACAAAGTAAAAGAGTATAGACATGTTTATTACAAAGTCTAAATGTCCCAAGAATTCTACAAATATAAGTTTACATGCTTTATTTTCTACATATTTTTTTCTTTTATTAAGTCAACTGATTTAAGCATTTTACCTAATACTAAAATGTTACTGATGATAATAACTTATTGTTAGGCAAAATATATTCTCTGATGCATAATAAACACAACGTGTTTATACTTTAAAACATATCAAACCATCAAAGATTTCCTCCTTTATATCATGTGACAGAATTCTGGATAACGTCTACATTAAGAAGTCTGATTTTGTTTTGGTACTGATGATAGATGGCAGACTAACATCATTAGTATCAAATGAAAAAATACATTGTTTACATTTCCTGGAAAGTGAAATATAGGCTAATTCCATGATCCAGATCTGTAAGATTCAATCAGAAATCAGTTGCTTTACTTAATTAATCTTCTATGAAAATGAGCTGACATACATTCTTCCATTTACTTGTCAACAAATATTTATCATCAACTTGTAGATACTGCCAATCTACTTAATTATCAAGCAACATACACATGAATGTGGAAATAAACTAAGAGTGGAAATATAGCAAAGGAATGTGATACCTTGCAGGACCCAAGTGATGGTTATCCTGCCCATCACTGTATGTGCAGGTGTGTTAAAAAGGCTTTGGGCAAATAAGAAAAACTGGCAGGTTGGATGCATCAACAATTTACAATTATGAAAAGCGCTGTGATCAGGTACTTTAGTGGAGTCTTCAAATTATTGAGTAGAAAGAAAGAAAGAAATTAATCCCAAACATCTTTAAACCCAAAGTATGTGCTTATGATTTCAAATTAATGTTTCCTATATGAATTTTAAAAAATTCACAGAAACACACAACAATTTGGCATGTCCCCATTTTGCAGAATATTAGAAAATGACTACTGCAAGCTATAATCCGGAATCCTGCTGGCAGCTCCCCTAGGAAAGGAAGGACATCTTTTTCCAACTGGTTCACAGATGTCTGAAGGGAAAAGGAATTTCCATAATTGGAAATTGGACCATACACTATGGTCAGCAGTTAGAAAAGAGGACATACAGCAAAGCCACTCTGATACTATCACATCGGAAAAGCAGTCAGGGAATGTGCAAAGGAGCAGAGGGTTAGGGAATGATTGGTGTGGCTGTTTATGAGAAAATGGCCAAAGAATAAATTCACAGGATATAGAAACACCATAATCATTCAGAAATTGACAATAAACAGGGGTTACTGTATATACTCGAGTATAAGCCTAGTTTTTCAGCCCACTTTTNTAATCATACTTTAGAATAGCTCAACAGATCTGTGCCATTGGCTACCAGCTATGTATGGTTTGTGGGTTTTTTTTTTAAATTCTTCCTTGCTGTTTGTTTTCACTGTTGTAATTTGTTTAATCTAGCTAACTTGTTTTGGGTTATATACAGTCCAAGTAGATAACCAGAAATATACAGCTGAAGGTTAATAAAGGGATGAAATTTTATCCCTTTCCTAACACAAATAAAATACAGTTTGAAATACATATGTCACTAGTTGATAATGTACTATTCCATTTTATCCATACTGTATTTGTTTATTTCAACTAAACCAACAAATACTGTACCCTTTTGATACTTTAAATTATTGCACTTGCTTTTGGGGAGCAGCTGTTTAACTAATTTAAATATGAAAATTCAGTCCTAATCTCTGAAATAGTACTATTTCATACACATACTTATATTTAAATTATCATGAACCACTCTTGGTTTATCTACTGAAAATTAGGAGGAAATCCCAAAGGGCTCAGATACTCTTTTCTACTTTTATTTGACAATGGTACTTTGAACTTTGTACTTGGAATAGGTCCTCTATCAACTCTCCTATTGGAATTAGATGGAATTATAGTTACATAATTTTGTATGTTAGTTTACATTTTAACATTGCATCGAAGTAATGATGAAATGCAGTCTTCGTTGTGCTTTGGCGGTCATGTTCTGTATACTTTCTCAAGGTGTGTATTTAAAACAATTGCTAAACTACGTATTCATGGAGAAAAGATCATTTATTTGTCTTGTAAAATTTGCCAAACACATTTTAAAGTCTAAATCTATTTTGTAACCTTAACCTGGGCTTCTTTATAGCAATGACAAATACTTTTCAAGTTTCATGTGTTATTATTTGCTAAATTGAAAATGGTGTTTTTTTTTGTATAGAACAGAGCAGCTGTGTGGCTTCCTAACGTGTGATCTCCTTGCTGGATTTGGGCAATATGGCAGGCATCCTGCGTACAGTTAGTAATTTCTCCGTTCCCCTTTTCAACAATGTGATATGCCACAAGGTGAAGACTGTGAAGACGCCAAGGGTGAGGACATTCCTTACCCACCAGGTTCTCTGGTGTAAAGCAGCTACCAAATCAGGTATGTAAACTGGTTCACATGATTTCGGTTCAATTCTGTCTGGTGTTAAAATGTATAAAGGCCAGTCCCAATTTGTTTTTTCTGGTCTCCCAGCATTTATCACGCTAATAATATAAGAAAAAGAATCTAGGATACCGCTGTATTCTGCAAGAATCATAGTTCTTTATCTAAAGATAAGCAGCAGACTTTGACTATGTTCTAATAGAGGTTTTGAAACTTGGTTCACTCATTACAGTAGAGTAGTAGGATGTGAAAGGCCTAGACATTTACGCCTTAAAGAGAACATTTCTGTGTTCCATTTGTGTAAGCCAACTATAGAAATTTATTTAGTATCACACCTTTATTATTTTTACAAATAACTCAAGGCAGTGAACATATCCAACACACCTTCCTCCTTCTATTTTCTTCACAAGAACAACCCTGTGAAGTGGATTGGACAGAGAGTAAACGACTGGCCCAAGATCATCCAGCTGGCTTTCGGGACCTGAACTCAAATAATTGAATAATAGGCATTAGTAATCTGCAGTGCACCATATCTCAGAAAGTTATCTTGTAGCAAGGGGGGAGGAATTAATTTTCCCAAGGGGCCCTGAGAAATTGGGCCTGTTGTGGAGGGCTGTGAAGGTCCATAGATATGCATGAACCCTGTTTCCCTGAAAATAAGACCTCCCGGATAATAAGCCCAATCAGGCTTTTGAGTGCATGCGCCAAAAAATAAGCCCTCCCCAAAAGTATTGCAACACAGCAGCAGCCATGAGGTGACCACGCTCGCCACCACCTGCACCTCAAAATCAATAAGATTTCCCCCAAAATAAGGCCAAGTGCTTATTTCAAGAATCAAAAGAAAACAAGACCCTGTCTTATTTTTGGAGAAACACGGCATATATGAATTGAAAACAGTCTCCTTCAAAATAAAAGCAATGCAGTTGCTCACCGATTTCTAATTTGTGATTGACCTCTCACAGGCTGGATAGGAACAAAGGGCCAGATGTGATCCCAGGGCTGTCAAATGCCTAAGTCTGGCTTGGTAGTGATGTACTTTCAAAGGAAAACAAAAGACTGCATTTCAGAATTAGCATGTTGAACTTATTCAAGAGCTCCAGTCCACATTATGTCCTTCAGATGTTCTTTGTATTACATTAGCCCTTGTTCTTTGATTGTAACAACTAATACTTTGTTAACAAAGACAATGGTTCTTCTTGAAAGTATGGAATTGTGCTTTAGAAATGTCTTTGTGAATTAACTAATCTGTTAGTTATCCAATTATCTAGAACAGTTCCTAGATGAATGGGTTGTTAGATACATTACACAGTGCAGTTTTATTACAAACTGGAGAAATGATAGACTGATAAGACTATCTCCTGAATTAATGTAATGGGTATATGTCGGTGCATGTTTTATAATTTAGTCTGCAGTGGTGGAATTTCCAGAGCACATTTTTCCACACGTGTGTTTTGAAATGATTTACACAGTTTGGCGTGGGACCTAGAAAAGCATTCATTCATTTTTCTACTCTCGTTTTGTTGCTTCTGCAATTTATTATACTAGATGTATTGCAACTGTATCTCTCACTGTTTGGTTGGGATTCAAAGGGAAATGGCACCATAGATAGTCCTCGATTTAAAAGCATTCATTTAGCAACCGTTTGATATTACAACAGCACTGGAAAAGAGAAGCTGGCCTTAGCATTTATGATGGTTGCAGCCTCCCAAGGTCGGCAATTGCTTTCCCAGCTTACAAGCAAAATAAATGGGGGAAGCCAGATTTGGTTATGATTCACATAACCATGTCAAAAGTCATAAAATCGGGCACAATTTACGTAACTATGTTGATTAGCAACAAAAACTCTGGTCATATGTCGAGAACTACCTATACAATCAACACGTGTCGCTTTGACCTTTCTCCCATCCTTATTTTGCAATAGGAGGTATGAAACTTGTACTAGTATATTCTGCAAGTGCTCTTACAGTGTTGTTAATGAAACAGTACAGGGCAGGGGTGTCAAACTCAAGGCCTGTGGGCCAGATCCGGCCTGGAAAAAGCAAAGGACTAGCCTCTGGCAGGCAAAACAGGGTTTGGGGGGCCATGCGCACCCTCCCCACACCCCATTTTTGTCCTGGATCCTGCAGCACTCTGCCAGCCAAAATGGGGCACATTGGCGATGTGTGACACCCCCCACATTCTGGTTTGGCCAGCAGGGTGCTGCAGGAGGCTGTCCAGGCTGAAAACGGGGCACCCCGATGCCCCATTTTGGCCAGCAGGGTGCTGCATCCATCCCATTTCCCCTCCCCTGGCTGGCCTGTGGAGGAGAACAACAATGCTGATTTGGCTCTCGAAGAAATCAAGTTTGACACCCCTGGTATAGGGATATACTAGTACATCCAGTCTGAATGCACATAAGAAAAATTATATGCTATTTCTTTTATTGTGTTATTTTTTGAGAAAGTAAATTGGAAGGAATCTGAAAACTGTCTTGAATGAGAAGGATTGCCTCTTGGCTATGAAAACTCCGTGCTAACTAAATTGCAAGCTGTCAACATATTTATTAAATCAGTGATGCCTTAAGAGAGTACATTTTTTCCCCAATACAGAATATATTCAGTTAGGTACTAAGAACTCTTTCCTTGGTATTTTTAAAATAATAGTAGCTCCATCTGAAATATAACAAGAGCCTTGATTAATATGACTATACCAGCCTGCTTTTAAAAATCCATTAAATTAAGTTACATAAGTGGGACAAAAATAATTACAGTCCTACCTATCAACATTTTTGGAGAATTTATAGGAGCTTTGCAAACTTGAATCTACAAAGTTAAAGCATATTAGTGAATATTTTAGATCTTATCTGAGTAATGTGATTCTCTTGAAGATATTGCATGAAAGAGAACTGTATGGAAATGAATGTTCTTAATGTGACTATATAACTTATTACTTAGAATGGACTTCTAAGTACCATAAAGTTGCATCTTACTACCAGTTTTCTTCCAATCAGATATATATTTGATTATTTTTGATAGTCCAATATTGGTGTTGGGTTTGGTGGCAGAAATTGATGATGAGTACCATCATATTTTATGTATTTAAGTGTTTATTAAATTTATATATTGCCCCTTACACTGGGAAGACTCTGGGAAGACTTTTGATATAATATAGTTATAATTCATTTTTAAAGGAAGCCAGAGGTTTTAGGGATCAGGGTTAACTAAGGAATTTTGGTCATTGTTTTGGTTTCAAAATCTTTTTTCAGTCTATAAGAATGATTTTGTTTTGGCCATGGTGACCGAACCAAAACTTATCCCACTGAAATTTTGAAGCCTCTGTTAATGTGAATCTGCGTAGACCTGTGTGTTTGTTTCATCCATGGGGGTTAAAGGATAGTGATAAGTACTTGTATCTTAAATAACTTCACCTCTGTATTTTGTCTCTTACTATAAAATGCATAAGAAATAATAGCATGAGTGAAAATCAGTTGGTTTGCCATAAGTTGGCAACATAACCTAGAAATAGAAGGAACAAGAAATTGTAGTATTTCTTATGCAAACTGCAAAAAAAGAGAGACTCCCCTCCCCCAAGCTGAGACGTTGGTGATGTTTTCTGCAGAAAATAATGGTGAGAAATGTTGGCAGATTGATAAAGAGTGTGCCTAAAAATGATGTTTTAATGAAAAAAGAAAGAATTCTGAAGAAACCCTATTACTGAAGAGTCAGCATGTTTTCCTAGTTATAGTGCATTGAGGAACGCAACTTGTAGTCCTAAAAAAAGCTGAGCTGGTGAAATTGCTGGGGAATAATTTGGTATTGACTACCAGCAGGTAAATACAGAATTCCAGAAAACAACTCAGCAAAACCCACTTTTAATTACTCAGTACATAATTTTATAACTATAATAGCAACTTCAGTCGCTGGAGCTTTGTTAAAGGAAATTGTTTTCTTTGAAGAACATTTAGACTCAGTAGCCAGAAAAAAAAGAGTGGTATTTTCTTCTGATTAAATCACTGAAAGACATGTTTATACACATGCTTAGAATGCCTGGAAGCATGCCTGTCTGGAGATCTCTTGAAGTTTGACACATGGCAGGAGGAGGCGGGATGGTGGTTCTCATTGACTAAGGCTAGCTCTAATAAAAGACTTGGAGAATAAAATGAACATGAAAATTACTGGAATACTAGTATTTTGAAATGGATCCTCTGCTGCTGCTTCTTTTTTTAGTAAAAAAAAGGAGAAACTCAGGATTTTCATTAATTTAATGGTGAGAATTTAATTTAATTTAATGGTGAAAGATATTGAGCTTGTCGATCAGAAAGCTCGGCAGTTTGGTGGCTCGAATCCCTAGCACCGGGTAATGGAGTGAACTCCTGTTACTTGTCCCTGCTTCTGCCAACCTAGCAGTTCGAAAGCATGTAAAAATGCAAGTAGAAAAATAGGGACCACCTTTGGTGGGAAGGTANGTGTTGTGTTTTTGATGCAATCTGTTGTATGAATCTGGTTGTATTCGACTGCAACAACCAAAGCTGACTCGTGGATTAAGCTCTGTATTATCCTAAAGCAAGCAAGCAAACAAACAAACCAGCTTCCAGTGGCCCATAAAAATCTGGCTTTTATTTCAGATACCTGATGATCCCATTCTTTTGCTTTCTACCTCTGTCATTTCAATGGCAAGGAGTTTCAATTTTGTTTTAAATTTTTCATAGGGCTAGTGTGTGTTTTGTTCCCTTATGCTTGACTCACATCTGCAACTAGGTTTACAATGTGAGCACAGACACACACACACACATTGTGTGTGTGTGTTACAACTGGGCCCACATATACTTTGCTACATGTATTCTGTGTACTAGAATTCAGATTCCAGAATGATGGTGCATCTGAGAATGATTTCATTACTGACAATATGTAAGCAAAAGGATCATTTATATACTGCTTTTCACATAAATTAGAAAAAAATTATCCAGGCACTATTATTTGCCATTTTATATCCTATCTTTTAGGCAGATTATTATGGTA